AAGGCTGAGATCACTCAAGAGTCACTTGGGCCTAGGTTGAGAGATCACTCTAGATTGACTTGGGCCTAGGTTGAATCCACTCCAGAGTGACTTGGGCCTGGGTTGAAATCACTCTTGAGTGACTTGGGCCTAGGTTGAAATCATTCTAGAGTGACTTAGGTCTGGGTTGAGATCCCTCTAGAGTCACTTGGGCCTAGGTTGAAATCCCTCAAGAGTCACTTAGGTCTGGGTTGAGATCCCTCTAGAGTGACTGGGGCCTAGGCTGAGATCACCCTAGAGTGACTTGGGCCCAGGTTAAAATCACTCCAGAGTGACTTGAACCTGGGTTGTGATCACTCCAGAGTGACTTAAGCCTAGGCTGAGATCACTCTAGAGTGACTTGGGCCTAGGCTGAGATCACTCTTGAGTGACTTGGGCCAAGGTTAAATTCACTCTAGACTGACTTGGGTCTTGGCTGAGATCACTCTAGAGTGACTTGGGTCTGGTTTGAGATCACTCTTGAGAGACTTGGACGTAGGCTGAGATCACTCAAGAGTCACTTGGGCCTAGGTTGAAATCACTCTGGAGTCGATTGGGCCTGGGTTGCGATCCCTCTAGGGTGACTTGGGTCTGGGTTGCGATCACTCCAGAGTGACTTGGGCCTAGTTTGAAATCACTCTAGAGTGACTTGGGTCTGGGTTGAGATCACTCTTGAGAGACTTGGGCCTAGTTTGAAATCACTCTAGAGTGACTTGGGCCTAGGCTGAGATCACTCAAGAGTTACTTTGGCCTATGTTGAAATCACTCCAGAGTGACTTGGGCCTAGGCTGAGATCACTCTAGAGAGATTTGGGCCAAGGTTAAAATCTCTCTAGACTGACTTGGGCCTGGGCTGAGATCAATCTAGAGAGACTTGGACCTCGGTTGAGAGATCAATCTAGAGTGACTTGGGCCCGGGTTGAGAGATCACTCTAGAGTGACTTGGGTCCAGGTAAAAATGACCCTAGAGTGACTTGAGCCTGGGTTGAGATCACTCTAGAGTGACTTGGGCCTAGGCTGAGATCACTCTAGAGTGACTTGGGCCTAGGCTGAAATCAGTCTTGAGTGACTTGGGCCTAGGTTGCAATCACTCCAGAGTGACTTTGGCCTGGGTTTAAATCACTCTAGACTGATTTGGGCCTGGGTTGAGATCATTCCTGAGTGACTTGGGCCTAGGCTGGGATCACTCTAGAGTGACTTGGGCCTGGGCTGAGATATCTCTAGAGCGACTTGGACCAAGGTTGAGATCACACTAGAGTACATTGGGCCAAGGCTGAGATCACTCAAGAGTCACTTGGGCCTAGGTTGAGAGATCACTCTAGACTGACTTGGGCCTAGGTTGAGATCACTCTAGAGTCACTTGGGCTAAGGTTAAAATGACTATAGACTGATTTGGGCCTGGGTTGAGATTACTCGAGAGTGACTTGGGCCTAGGCAGAGGTCATACTAGGGTGACTTGGACCTCGGTTGAGATCACTCAAGAGTCACTTGGGCCAAGGTTAAGATATCTCTAGAGTGACCTGGGCCTAGGCTTAGATCACTCTAGAGTGACCTTGGCCTAGACTTAGATCTCACTAGATTGTCTTGGTCCTTGGCTGAGATTACTCTTGAGTGACTTGGGCCTGGGTTGAGATTACTTTAGAGTGATTTGGGTCTGGGTTGAGATCACTCTTGAGTGCCTTGGGCCAAGGTTGACATCTCTCTAGAGTGACTTGGTCCTGGGTTCAGATTACCCGAGAGTGACTTAGGCGTAGGCTGTGATCACTCTAGAGTCACTTGGGCCTGGATTGAGATCACTCTGGAGTGACTTGGGTCTGGGTTGAGATCCGTCTAGAGTGATTTGGGCCTAGGTTGAAATTACTCTAGAGTGACTTGGGCCAATGTTGTGATCCCTCTAGAGTGACCTTGGCTTAGGCTGAGATATCTCTACAGCGACTTGGACCAAGGTTGAGATCACTCTCGAGTGACTTGGACCTAGGCTGAGTTCACTCAAGAGTCACTTGGGCCAAGGTTGAGATATCTCTAGAGTGACCTGGGCCTAGGCTTAGATCACTCTAGAGTGACCTGGGCCCAGACTTAGATCTCACTAGATTGTCTTGGTCCTTGGCTGAGATAACTCTTGAGTGACTTGGGCCTGGGTTGAGATTACTTTAGAGTGATTTGGGTCTGGGTTGAGATCACTCTTGAGTGCCTTGGGCCAAGGTTGACATCTCTCTAGAGTGACTTGGTCCTGGGTTCAGATTTCCCGAGAGTGACTTAGGCGTAGGCTGTGATCACTCTAGAGTCACTTGGGCCTGGATTGAGATCACTCTGGAGTGACTAGGGCCTGGGTTGAGATCACTCTAGAGTGACTTGGGCCTGGGTTGAGATTACTTAAGGGTGACTTAGGCGTTGGTTGAGATCACGCTAGAGAGACTTGGTCCTAGGCTGAGATCACTCTAGAGTGACTTGGGCCTGGGTTGAGATTACTTAAGGGTGACTTAGGCGTTGGTTGAGATCACTCTTGAGTGCCTTGGGCCAAGGTTGACATCACCTTAGAGTGATTTGGGTCTGGGTTGAGATCACTCTTGAGTGCCTTGGGCCAAGGTTGACATCACTCTAGAGTGACTTGGGCCAATGTTGTGATCCCTCTAGAGTGACCTTGGCTTAGGCTGAGATATCTCTACAGCGACTTGGACCAAGGTTGAGATCACTCTAGAGTGACTTGGGCCTAGGCTGAGATCACTCAAGAGTCACTTGGGCCAAGGTTGAGATATCTCTAGAGTGACCTGGGCCTAGGCTTAGATCACTCTAGAGTGACCTGGGCCTAGACTTAGATCTCACTAGAGTGACTTGGTCCTTGGCTGAGATCACTCTTGAGTGACTTGGGCCTGGGTTGAGATCACTCTTGAGTGCCTTGGGCCAAGGTTGACATCACTCTTGAGTGACTTGGTCCTGGGTTGAGATCACTCTAAAGTGACTAAGGCGTGGGCTGTGATCACTCTAGAGTCACTTGGGCCTGGGTTGAGATCACTCTGGAGGGACTAGGGCCTGGGTTGAGATCACTCTAGAGTGACTTGGGCCTGGGTTGAGATCACTCTGGAGTGACTAGGGCCTGGGTTGAGATCACTCTAGAGTGACTTAGGCGTTGGTTGAGATCACTCTAGAGTGACTTAGGCGTTGGTTGAGATCACTCTAGAGTGACTTAGGCGTTGGTTGAGATCACTCTAGAGTGACTTAGGCGTTGGTTGAGATCACTCTAGAGTGACTTGGTCCTAGGCTGAGATCACTCTTGAGTGACTTGGGCCTGGGTTGAGATTACTTAAGGGTGACTTAGGCGTTGGTTGAGATCACTCTTGAGTGCATTGGGCCAAAGTTGACATCAGTCTAGAGTGATTTGGGTCTGGGTTGATATAACTCTTGAGTGCATTGGGCCAAGGTTGACATCACTCTAGAGTGACTTGGTCCTGGGTTGATGAGATCACTCTAGAGTGACTTAGGCGTGGGCTGTGATCACTCTAGAGTCATTTGGGCCTGGGTTGAGATCACTCTGGAGTGACTAGGGCCTGGGTTGAGATCACTCTACAGTGACTTGGTCCTAGGCTGAGATCACGAAATACGCAGGTTCCTTTCTAGACACGAGTATCCCGAGTGGTGCGTTTCAACATCATTCATAAATATGTGATCAATTCTCACCCTGGCGAACACCAATCTCAGCAAAAAAGCAGAAGATTGTAAAGGATACTGTGACCTGTTTGATATATGCAAGGTGAGTTTGATTCTTAAACACTTGTTATATACGGTTCACGTGGCCATAATATACCCAGACTGGTCAGTGTGTATACATAGTATACAGATCCAGTTAAATAATATTTGGCAAAACTTATCAAATAAAACCACATGACATTCTGACACGGACATAACATTAGACTCAAGCTATTTCTTTAAATACTCAATTATTATTTCTTCTACAGAAATGGTGCTAAATTGTCGATGTATAAAAAATATTAAACACTGATTTCGATCTTCAAAATAAATCTAGAAATTAGAAATTTAAAAAAAAATTAAAATAATGAAGTGTTTCTTTTTCTACTGTTTCTTTTTATCTAATCAAAAACTGTTTTCCAGGTTTCGTTTTGTCCCGTTGCCTGTTTTTCGAGCATCACATTATGACATATTGCGATGTTAAAAATAAACTTTTTTATTGAAGTTTAGGTGAATATGCCTCTGTGAATGGGTACCCGGTAGGATGGAGGACTGTTAACCTTCACGCCCTCACTTGCAGCTTGGGATATATATTCCTCAAGGAGCTGAGAATGACACTCGTTTGCACACTCATCCATTGGCCAGGGTAATAATGTAGCACTTTGGGCATGCTTTAGGGCATGGATTTGGCGCATTATGAATGTATCACAAAACAAGTCATAGGCGCCTGAAAACTGATCAAACGAATGGCGAATTTATGAAAATGTCAGTATTCTTAATTTCAGCATAGGCTAAAAACGATCTAGAGTGGTTTGGGCCAAGACTCAAATCACTCTTGAGTTAATTTTAAGGTATTGATTTGAGTCTGCTACACCAGCACCCGGACGCTGTGATAGCGAGGACTCACAAGACAGCAGCCGTCAACAACCCGAGGCATTCACAACACTGTCAGTCCGACCCAGCCTTTGTAGTAGGGACCGAGCTACATGCAGTGCGGAAAGCAGTCAGCTGTAACGGCACATATCACACAGGCCTATACAGGTATCACAAGTAGGTCACTGTGCATAGACTACATTATCAGCCATTTTAAGAGTTAACGTGTTACTCTTACCACACCTATTGAATATAAAGCCGAAAAATACCAAAGAGTAAGATGGGTGTTTCTGTCGATTTCAGTTGAAATTAAACTTTGGTGTTTGAGAGCTTGAGTGCTTTAGTGCTTGGTCATAGCTTAAATTGTAATTGTTTTCAAAGAACATTTATTCAAAATTGCACTCTGTGATGAGTGAAATCACTTACCTTCACTGGGTATTGTGAACGGACACACAATTCTTAGTAACTATCTATCTCTCTGTTTATGGACGTCAATATCACCATGACAGTAACATGTCTGACACGAACGCGGAAGTACTTATCCCCCTGTCGTTGAACGGGGAATGTTCAAGACATGCGCTGTGTCTACTTTCGTTTTGTAACTTTACGTTTATTGGTACAATGTATGTCACATATGAAGCATCGTAAATTATTTGAATCCATATTGTGGTAAAGATCAATTACACTTTTCTATGTATTCAGAGTTATATAAATAAACTAGTGTCCAAAAGAAACGATACCAACTTATTTTCAAAATTGTTTTTTACTAAGTGAATTGTCAAGTATGAAAACATGCCAATTCGTATTGCACATCCCAAACACAGCATAGTCGATAAAAAATACCGGGAACACGTGATCACTTCCGGGAAAAAACGTAAATTTCGTGAAAGTGACATTTCCCTCTCTAGCATGTTCTGCACGTGCAGAAAAACTATATAAAACGGCTGACCAGACACGTTCATATCACAGCAACAAAAAGAACACAAGATATGCCACGTTTGACAGCCATCGAGAGAGAGAGAGCCGTTGGAATGGTCCAACAAGGAGCGTCACACGTCGACGTCGCCAGAAGGTTGGGCTGCGCACGCATCACTATCACCAGCTTGATGCAGCGGTTACGTCAGACAGGTCAGACGTCAGACAGGCCCAGGAGTGGAAGACCACGAGTAACCACGCCCCGTGAAGATCGTTACATCCGGGTATTACACCTGAGGAACCGCACCGTAACGGCGACGTCCACGGCGGCTACAGCACTGGGACACAGGATCAGTCGACAGACCGTCTACAGGAGACTACGGCAGTATGGTATCCGGCCACGTCATCCCTACCGCGGACCGCTCCTGACGCCTCGACACCGGAACAACAGACTGATCTGGGCCAGGCGAGTTCGACGTTGGCAACGGCGGGACTGGGCACGTGTTATGTTCTCTGATGAGAGCAGATTCCTCATCTTCAGAAACGATGGACGGCAGCTTGTATACCGACGATTTGGTGAACGTTTGGCGCCTAACTGTATCCAACACGTCCGTACGTTTGGAGGTGGAGGGTTAATGGTTTGGGGTGGCATATGTGGTGACGTCAAAACGATGCTTGTCGTAATTCGTGGAAACCTGAATGCACAGCGTTATCTTGATGACATCCTGCGGCCTGTTGTGGTGCCCTTTATTCAGCAACAGCCTCGTGGACTCCTTTTCCAACATGACAATGCAAGGCCACACACAGCAAGATTGACACAGAACTTCCTTGCCAACGCCAACGTACAGGTTTTGCCATGGCCCGCATGTTCACCGGACATGAATCCCATCGAGCACTTATGGGACCACCTCGATCGGCAAATCCGACGTCGCCGTGTGCCTCCAGTCAACGTCCAGGACTTGGAACAATGTCTCCTCGAGGAATGGCAACGCATCACTCCCAACGTCATCAGACGTTTGACGTCATCAGTCCGTAGGCGTGTTCTGGCATGTATTGATGCTCACGGTGGACATACCCGCTACTGACTTGACTTTGAGACGTGTGGTGTGACATTTCCCGTTGTTTCTGTGATCAGTGCTCTAACGAAATGTTCATTTTTCGACCCCACCCATCTTTAAAGGCTTGTCATATTGGTTGTACAGATTTTATTGAAATGAAATTTTTGTACAGATGTTGTGAAAGGATTTCTCAAAAGCATAACACCAATCCTAAACTTCTGCATTGTTTAGTTTTTCCAGACAGTCTAGTGATTGGTATCATGAGCATCGATCCACGCAGTTGGGATCGATGACATGCATCAACCAAGTCAGCGAGCCTGACCACCCGGTCCCTATAGTCGCCTTTTACGACAAGCATAGTCGCTTTTTACGGCAAGCATTGGTTGCTGAAGACCTATTCTACCCCGGAACCTTCACGGGTCAGTAGTTGTAGTATCAATATCAAGGCGGGGGATACCAAAAACGGACAAAAAGGGGAACCGAACCTGGGTCTTCCGTGTGACGAACAAACATTTTAATCACAAGCTAAAGCCTACCCCATCACATGTTAAGTATAGTTGGGACATGTCCAAAGACCAGCCCAAAAGACCTGACTTCAAAGATGGAAACAACAGTCAACAAGGCTACATTTTCTTTGTTTCAGAATCCTTATCCAGTATCTGCCAGCAGAAAAAACTCCAGTTTCATGCTTAATGTAGCCCCATAGATATAGGCGGTAAACAGAGTGGAGCTGAGTAACAGATCTGATACCATTCCATGAACGCTGTACTGTCTCTCACATATATCACCCGGAATATCAAACATGACATAAAGTTTAAATAAACTACTGCATATTCAAAAGGTCTTTCTTTCATCGGGTTTCCATGGATACTGACTGGTGTTTGTATATCCTAGATGACATCCCCAGCCCTGAATGGTTTACCGTATCGTTTACCGTTACCGCTACCTACCTTTGCGTCCGTATTTTGCAAAGAGTAAGCTATATATATAAGGATATAGTTTTAACTGGGTATATTTTTGGTGACACAGAATCGTAGCTTCTTCGTTGACCCAGTAACACTAGAGATGTCATATAATCGCCAAATGCAAATTGTCTTCTTTAAAAGTGTGGCATAACAGTGAGCCCTCATAAGGAAATGCCATGGGCTTGATTGCTCATATCAACTGTTTGGGACAAAATATATTACTCAGGTGTTTTTTAAGCACATGCAATGTTTAATTATTCACGTAACAGCAATCACTTGTCAAATAAAAAAATACGTTTATAATCGCGTTTTCCCTGCATGGTACATAAATAAATATTATTGATGAGAGAAAAAAACAGAGTTGGAAGATCGTAAATTTCGTAGTTTATGCTGACAGCTTGAAATGATACAAAAGAAACGTGCGTGCGTATGATACACGATAGATATATTTTCCAGAATCTGAATGCCCATAATTAAGGGTGCATATACAACATGAATGCGTACATGTATTATCAAGAATAAATAAGTCTTGTATACATTGATCAATCGGAAGGGGTGCTAAGTGGGATTTTTCATTTTTTTATTAGGAAAAACATCAGGCCACCGTGCTCATAGGTAACGAGATACGTGTACATGGACGTAACCTTACTAGTTTTGGAGAAATGCCTTTCTAATTTCAATATTATATACGTAATGTATCACGACATCATAATTTATTTAGCGGTAATGTCGTTCAGTCGTGTTTGTGCCTATAATCGAATGCAATTTGTTGAATCATGATCCATTTATCATTAAGAGCATTCTTGATGCATATCGTCAATATTTCAAATTACTGGAGACCCGTGAAGATCCGGGGTAGAATAGGTCTTCAGCAACCCATGCTTGCCTTAAAAGGTGACTATGCTTGTCGTAAAAGGCGACTAACGGGGTCGGGTGGTCAGGCTTTCTGACTTGGTTGATGCATGTCATCAATCCCAATTGCGTGGATCGATGCTCATGACATTAGTCACTGGATTGTCTGGTCCAGTCTCGATTATTTACAGACCGCCGTCATATAGCTGGAATATTGCTGAGTGCGGCGTTAAACAACCAACCAACCAGACACCCCTTGTGTCTATAGCTTCCATGGAGCTTGGCAATCTACATAGGACAACTGTCAAAGACCCCCACCAATTCCTGCTGTCAAGTTGGTGCTAGAAGGATGTAACGGTAAAGTTTCATCTTAAAATGAATACAGAATACGATTGTAATAAATGGCAAGTCTATATGAAAATATGTAGAGCTAAAATATTTATCCAGGTGAATATCACGTTTCAAAAACAAACAAACCTTAAATAAAATCTGTACAGTTTTAGTCAGTAATATCTACAGTACAAAATATCAGTGATATATAAAACTTCATGCAGGTCAATTTAGAAAATAAGTTACTCTTTCCTTTGTGGTTCTAAAAATAATTTTCTTCTTCTTTCTTTATTTCATTCAACCTACTATTCTTTTCAGAAAACTTTTTAAAAAAATTGAAAAATCATACCCCTTGCAGTTTTGAGAGAAAATATCTTGTACGCCGAGTAATCAGAAACAGAGGTCTGTACATAATCATCTTCAGATGTGACCATCATTGTAAGAACTTATTAAACATATTACGTAGAATTTACTTATGAACAAAGGTCGGTAATTACAGAATGTCAGTGGCATGTTCGATGCTATATGTATACGTGTAAGTATATGTATCTGTCTAAGAATCACATTTATATGATATCGTACTTTGAAGCAAAATAAAAAATATTTCTCAAATATCATAGATAGCTCCTGCCTTCTGTTTCTCAAACTATATAAGTTTATTTAACTATTGGATATGAAAAGAATATTGCTTCTATTGAGAAAAGTAATATTTTGAGAAACAGTAAGCAAAACAATATTCACAGATAATACATTCATAATTAAGATACAGATAATAAACAAGTCATTCAATCCACAATTACACATTCAATCAGTCAGTTTCTTAAACTACTGATCCAAATAGGTGTAAATTTGTAAAAGCTTGAAAACAAATTAAGCAAAGAGAAATGTTGACATTATGTGGGTAGTTTAAGTATATAACATAGTCATTGACTATAGTGAGTGAGTGAGTATGGTTTTACGCCGCTTTTAGCAATATTCCAGCAATATCACGGCGGGGGACACCACAAATGGGCTTCACACATTGTACCCATGTCGGGAATCGAACCCGGGTCTTCGGCGTGACGAGCGAACGTTTTAACCACTAGGCTACCCGACCGCCCCCATTGACTATAAGAACAACATAAGGGTGACATAATAAACTCAACAAAGTCAGCGAGTGAGCTACAAACATTTAGGCGATAGCTCAGCCATGATTCCAGCAATAAAACTTGTCATTATGACGTTGCGATTTTCCGAATTTGTTTCACACTAACACAGTAGGTGTGTGAATAATATATGAAACTCTGGGGATCTGAGTTTCTCGTAAGTAAATGTTTTCATGTGATATCCATATTTACATAAGTTAAACCAGTGTTCAATTTGTCACTTAATACGCACTGGTACAATGATCGAACAAATGAAGATTTTCCTGTTAATCACTTGGTCAGTCACCGTTACTCTGAGGGTAGGTCTGTTATTTTGTCTAAAAATCTATTGCACTCTTTGGCAATAACTCGCAGGACACGCGTGTGTTACGATTAAGCCCACTGCTCATCACCAGCCACAGTGGGTCTCTAAACATGACCTCAGGAACCTTTGTGACGACTCTCGGGTGACTTATGGCAAGTACATGGATTGTGTTTTTGGCTTCATCGAGTATGAAACAGATATCAAGAGTGTGTGATGTATCAGGGTTGTTTGGAGTTAGGGTGTTGTCACTTAGGCATTCATTATTGTAGTACATCTTGATACAGAGGTACTCGTCATGATTCGAACAGGTTACTATGGTTACACTCAATCCTACTGGTTGACTCGTGTTAGCTTCAATAGGACTGTGAGTAAAAGCTACATCGAAGATAATTTTGTCTTTTTGTTCTGGCTTTATGACAGAGAATGTGACCCTCATGGCACACATGATGCGTTGACCTTTCCCGACAACTAGAGGTGTTGACGCAAGAACATGACGGTTTGATTGCAGCCGGCAACTCGAGGCTGGAGGAGGAGGAAGTGGCATTTTATTTGTGACAACAGACCCCGACACTGTCGCAAGTGCACTGGCAGTGCTGCTGTCCCACTCCAGGTCAGCATCTAGAGTAAACAGAATAACATGAATTAACTACATATGAAACACATGAATGTATGCCGACCCTTTACTTTACCATCAGTGTAATCAATAACATTTCCCATACAACAAAGGAATTTCATAACAACAATTCGAAAATCTAGGCATTCAATAGTAGAAAGAACACAATTCTCAAAATGCTAATGCTTTATAATGTTAATCTACACTCCTTGGATAATGAACTCATATGTGCACTAGTGTACATAATAGTTGGCGTCTTGACACTTCAATAAAGATATCAATTCCAATACACATGCAATGGACGTTCATGGATTAAGACTTGGACATGGTATCAAACAAATCACGAATGCCGAGTACAGGAAACGAAATTATATGTTCCAAACCGAATGAATAATGATGGAATTTTCAACATGTTTTCAGACTTCTGAAATAAGTTCAAAAGTAACAGAAAGGTCAACATCTGGAACGTTTTGTGTGTATAAGTATTTCATGAAACACAATAATTATAAATTCAAAAGGTCAACGCCAGAAAATCATCAGCCTCGAATAGCTGATTACATAGGGCACAAATGGCAAAACAGTGATGGAATTTATATGAATGGAAAGTACAATAGAATTTTTTTTTTTAAATTTCAAGAATGTATGTGGTCTGTTCTTTTCTCCCAAGATGTCTAAGGATCCCACGATTTTCAGACTTGCATCTGTTAGGCGTGTCATGATCCAATGATTGTGCGTTCGAATACTTGATTTGTCAGCTGCTGAATAGCAGTCCGCAGGACGATTCCGACCATATCAAAAGCATTAACGTTATAAATTTACGAAGGCCTATCAACAAGTGATGATACCAGGTGTTCGTAACAGGTGGGCGTATCCTGATCCACCGATTGCACACCTCGCAAACACATGCAAAGGCAGGTCAAGTGTTCACCTGAATGAACATGGGAGCTTATGGTATAAGCAAAATATTGAAATGCAGCGGACATCATTCTTGTCACTGATGCGTCAAATTTGGAAATATACTATAATGTATATCCTAACAATTTTTAACTTCCTTACTAATGCCTTGAATGCTGTAAACCGAATCAAACACCTTTTGCGAAAGAGTCGTATTACTCTCCTTGAAATCTCCATGGAATGAGCATGCTTAAGTGTACCTCAAAAGTTGGTATATTGCTCGACATGTGGACTGTTGGAAGTTTAGATTACCTCTCTTGTCATAAATCTTGTTATTGCCACTCTGAATGTTTATGTATGCATAAATTCAAATATGAAACAGACGAGGCGGTTGTACATGTTGCTTGTCATTCTCGTTCAGGTGGGCAAATCAGTGGAATAGGAAATGGCTATTTGACAATTATTGAACTACATGTATATCACATTATCAACATAGATGAAGTTTAAGTTAAACTTCTTTGCCAAATTCCAGTGTTTTGATTTTGCCATCACGAGCAGAAATTCCTTTCCACGCATAATGCCATTAAAGCTACTTCACTCGTTCACATGAATTGTCACAGATTAGGTATATATTGCCAACTCACAATACATTCCACTTCCTCCAAAAGGCTCCAGGTTCATATATTCTGCTGCTGCTGCTGTAAAAGGAAACAGTCTGCTTTACATTTCTACCGTATTTACTTATTATTTGAAATATTGAGTTTTAATTTTCAAAATGCTACATTCACCAGAACTGATAATTAGCTTTTGGAAAATACAATACTAACTTTGGTGTGAACTAGTTACCAACCTGTTGACATATTGATTTTAGTTCTGCACCAAAGTAAAACATGGTTTCCTTTTCAATCATATCTAAAATACTATAGAAGCCACTGTTCTACCATTTTTATATGTGGCTAGTGGTCAACAATTTTATTCACCTACGACCTTTTTCTCTTTACCCGTGAAGATCATGCTCAGAAATGATCTTCAGCAACCCATGCTTGTCGTAAGAGACGACTATCGGGTTCGGGTGGTCCGGCTCGGTGACGTGGTTGATGCATGTCATCGTATCCAAAATGCGTACATCAATGCTCATGATGTCAATCACCTGATTTTATGTCAAGACTCGATTATTTACAGACCATAAAATAGCTGGACTATTTCTGAGTGCAACATTAAACGATAAACAAACAAACATTATCGCAACATTTTCATTTTAGGCGCTTTTATTTCACATTCTCAGCAACATTCGCATCTTGTGGATGTTCCTTTGGATACTGTTGACGACATACTCTCTTTGCTGAACCTTGAAAGAAATGTGATGATATATTTACCTTGTTCCAAAGTACCTTGGTCCAGAGTGATTGAATTGTATATCTTGTTCAAAGGGACGTTGTCAGGTCTCTTAGCTGGTGAAAATGATACTACTCGGACAATGCCAGCTATCTGCATCAATGATGTTATTTTCTTGAAACATGCAGAAACGAAGCTGATTCCAGTCCTGTAAAACCCAACATCTTTAGGTGTCTCCGCCAAGATGGAATTCAAAGAGGCGGCTGAAGATCCTATCACTTGTAGATCCTCTATCTTATCAGCTTTGCCTCTCATCAGTCTCGTGTATTCTGTAGAAGACTTCACTTTAGTCAGCAGCATTACTGTGGAATCCAATGCCTCCTCTGCTGGCTTCAGAGCTTCATCTGACTTTGTAACAACTTCTGACAACATGATGGTCTTCCTTTGCTGCAATGCTTCTATGAGATTGGTGAAGGCTTTGTTGATCTCTTCTTTGGCAGTGTTTCTTGATGACTTTATGCTGTCACATTTCTTTTGTAGATCTACAACTGCTTTTTCAAGAGCTATGGCCTTCTCATCTAATCTCTGCAAGACGTCTTCATTTTCAGTAGCCTTACTTTCATGTGCGTTTTCAACAGACACAACGTTGTGCCCACTCCCTTTATCATGTTCCACTACTGTGCAAGACACACAGACGGCCTGGTCACAAGTGTGGCAGTAGAACTGTAGAGGCTGGTGATGTTGTGTACACTTATGGAGGCGACGGAAGCTCTCAACTGGTCGTTCCCTCATGTCGTCAAAACTGACAGTTTGGTGATCTCGCATAGATTTAACTCTTTTGTGGGCATTTAGACACTCTTGGCACAGGAAGAGGCAGCAGTCATCACATCTGGACATGGCAGGGTTACCATCAGGACAATCTGTACATGGCAGATGAAGCCCTTTCACAATCTTCAGATGATCCAGGATTCTTAGGATGATAGGCTCTTTGGACAGACACTTCACACCGCCTGGCAGGTTATGTTGGTGTCGACACATTGGACATGATAACGTTTGGAGTCCTTTGCTGTACGTCTCTAGACATGCCTCACATATTGACTGTACACAGCAGGGCATACGACGAGGTGTCCGTCTGGCCTCATCAAAGTGTTCTGTACATATTGGGCACACGATAAGAAGATCCTTGATGGCGGATGCCGATACGTAGTCCGACATGGTTATCTGGAAAAGTATTTAATACATATGATGCATTACGGATTTCCAATATAACTTTTCTTTTCGTCACGAGACAACTGATTCGAAATCAGGGCAGACACATCCAAACTTGCATGCTACGTACACCACTTAAAACTACAGGAAACAAAATGTTAGTGTTTGCTTTGTACAAAAATTCAACGTAACAATATCCTTATTGAGAATATAAGTTCATATTAACAAACAAACAAGAACATGTGACATTGGTGCTGTTACAAGTAATTTAAAATCAAGAAAATGATATCTTGAGGAATTATCAAAACAGGAAAGGAATAAATCTAAACTTTGTTTCGTGTAAAATATTTTCTTTGCAGAAAGTGAATTTTTAGCCTGCCTTATTATGTCTTTAACAACATTGTTATCTTAATAATAATGCATTACCTTGCAAATGAACATTTCATACTTGAACAATATTACTAGTATTTCATGCTGCCACACATTGTTTACGTAACATGATGCGGAATAAAAAGGTCCCGCTGCGACAATATTTGCTCAGTAGTAGATATTTACCAACACAAACAGACAGAACTGATGAGCGTATGACCATGGCATATTTAACAAGACATGTAATAATCTTCTCGTTATAAACTGTTTGTAAGCTTCTGTCATGGTGACGTTGACTTTGACAGTCGACCAGTCATATTCCAGAAAAAATCACATAAACACAGTAACGGCTGTTTCAGGAATGATAACGCTTAAGGTACTGTCAGCATGTAGTGCATTTAGGTGCACATATTTAGATTATTATTTTTACCTGATCGAAAATCGGACACCTGCAATCGTCAATGCTATTCTTAAACCGGACGGATCAAGCGTTACTCAATATTGAATTACTTATTGGATGTTATGTTCCAAATTTGAACAGATCATTCTTCCTCAGGATGGAGTCTGATTCATTATCGAGTTACAACTGTATAACTCATCATTCCAAGATAGAATACAGGGTTATTTCTGATAAATACACATTTATGGTGTACTATTCCAAGTTGTTCAGATAAAGTAACCATTTAAGGTTTTACAGGTATTGTACTTTACACCAGTTAAGGATCATCAGTATCAAATTTAGTTCTGACTGTTTGTAGCCGAAAGCATGAATGCTTCCCACGCAGGTAAAAACATCCCTGAGCAGAACTTTTTTTTCTGATACCTTACTAAACATTGCCACTGAAACAATCTCTAAAATCTCGACAACTCCACGTGGTACAATGAAGATTGCAAAACACTTAAGCAGCAGGTGGTAGAACCATCAAGCAAAATATACGCAGCTGGAGACATTTTGTTTCCAAATTGACTACACATACTCCACTCAATAAAGTATGGAATATGGTACGAAGAATGAAAGGCAAAGCGTCCACTAGCAGTGTTCAAAAATTAAAAGCTGATACTGATACACTTACATTAAAAAAGGACATCGCTCATAAGCTGGCAGAGACAATTAGTAAAAATTCATCGTCTGCCAAATAGTATCCTAAATTTCAAAGGTATCAAAATCAGCAGAAAAAGAGTCTTAATTTCAAATCCG